GAGAGTGAGTATACTTTCATCAGTATTGGTCATTTGGGTTTCTTCAGGGACATGCCTGTTGATCTCCTGATAGCCCGTTTTCTGTTTAGTGGTTTGTGTTTCGTCAGTTGCAGAAGTTCTTCATGTGTGTGGACACTGCCTCTCGTCTGCTTGTGTAAACGTCTGCTCCCATCTGTGTTTGAGCGTCTGCATTTCCTTCCACGTCCTAGTTTACGTCTCCGAGTTACAGACGTCTTCTACTTCAGTCTTGTCAAGTTTGCACTCTTTTCTGTATGGTTTGTGCTCTCTTGTGTCTTGTTCAAGGCATCTCTCCGTACTGGGAGATCTTAAAGCTTCTCTGATTTTCTCTGAGTAGTTCTGGGGTTGCACTGTTTACATTGGGCCCGCAGTCCCCCCTGGGGTGTGCTTTTGTGTAGACGGGAGGTAGAGAGCCCGTTAGTTTTCCATCCGGGTGACTGCTTGTTATAACTGTGGGCCTTGTAAGTTCCTACCCTGATAGTTTACAATAACCTGTAACACCTCAGTCCCACACCGACTTTGACAAATGCCTGAGCCCATTTCTGGGCCCTCAGGCCTGTGTCCTTGGTTCACTTCTACACCACACACGGCCGCAGTTTGTGACGTTTCACCGTGGTCATGCAGCCCCAGGGCCGGGGGCCTCTGCGTCAGGGGGCCTCTGCGTCAGTCGCGCCAGGCCTCGCCTTCCTTTTCCTGCCGGCTCGTGAAGTCGCCTCAACATTTCAGCCCAGAAACACGCAGTGTCTGCCATACGATAGGCAGTCACCACATGTTCCTGGAGGAACGAATGAAACCGGGGACTTAAACTTGGGTTTTGAGTGCTCAGTGTAGCCAGCGTGTCACTGGGAGGAACGCAGTCACAGCAGCTCTCACAGCTTGTGAACAAAGGGGCTTCCTCCCGTCGTTTATGGAGCACGGAGACCTTAACAGCTCGGACGCTGCGTGTGCAGTTCAATCTGGCCTCAGTGGCCCGGGCCAGCCCAGCTGTGTCCCCGTCCTTAGCTCTCGTCCTCAGCCTCCCAGCGGGCCATGGGGACACCCCCTTCGTTCCTCCGCAGTGGGGAGGAGTTTGTCTCTCCGCGCAGCAGCGTTCAGGAGACAGGAGGCCGCATCTTCCTGCCCTGCCCACTCATTCATCCCTCCGTTCCGCAGACACTGGCTGAGCACTTTCCGCAGCCTGGCTGTCCCAGTGGAGTCGGGGGCGGGGGGAGACCACAGACCCACTAAATGAGTCATGATGTGGGCGATGTTAAAATGTGGAAAACGGAGTCGGGGCCGGGGACCGACAGAGGTGGTGACCACCAGACGGGAGCTTTAGGAGGTGAGGGAGCAGCCCCCACAGATGTCGGGAGAAGGGCACCCCAGGAGAGGTGAGCTGGTGCATGCCGGGGCCATCGGGGTGGTCACAGGACCCCCGCCCCACCCCGGGTGGGGCGCACGCTGCCCTGGGGCTCCGAGCAGAAGTGCACGGCAGCCACCCTTGTGGGGAAGGTCTGTGTGGCCCCTGCTCTGCTCTCCGCACCGGCTGCCCTTCCTGTGTTCCTGTTGCCTTCCGTTGCACTTGTTTCTTTTTCCAACATGTTCTTAAGAAAAAGCGATTTCAGGAAGCATCTGGCGCGGTCTGATGGTTTTAGGCAGACCGGAGTTCAAATCCCAGCCCAGGCTGGAGCCGTGGGACTCCAGCAAGTTATCCAACACCGGGGCACCTCAGCTTTCTCATCCACGAAATGATAAAAATCATGTGTCTTTACTGGGTTATTATGAAAATTATTTCTTTTTCGTTTTATTCGCTCAACTCTCTGTGGATTGCTCCTGTGTGCTAGGAAGGGCGGTAGGTGCCTAGCACGGACCCACGGGCTCCTGGGCGCCTGCGTCCTGCCTGCGGCAGGGTTAGTGAGTCCGTTGTCCCTCACTACCCTGTGCACCCTGCGGAGGGCACCCTTGCGGCCTGGGAGGGCGTGGCTGCGGGTCTCCACGTGCAGGTCAGGACTAGTGGAGCTGGTGCCAGGAGGCCAGCAGTGACCCTCCTGATGGTCACTGCCCCCCAGTGGAGACGTGGCTGATGCCCAGGCGCAGGCAGGGCCCAGCGGACGGGCAGTAGTGTCCTCCCGGGACTTTTTTTCTGGAACATTTCGGGTAGAAGTTAATTTCATTGGTCTTCTACAGGAACCAGTTTTGGGTGTCATTGATTTACCTCTTTTGCTTTTCTCTTTTCAATTTCTCTCATTTTAACTACTTACTACTTTTCTGTTACTTACATTGAAATTAATTTGCCTTTTGTTTGTTTGTTTGTTTGTTTCCCAAGGTTACAAGCTGAGATAATTGATCTGAGAACTTTCTTCTTGTCCAAGTGCTGCTTCAGCCACGTCCCATACACTTCACTTCTGTGTTTTCTTCTGCATTTGCTTCCATGAATCTTCTAAGTTCCTGTGAGAATCTCGCTTTGACTCCTGGCTTAGGCAGTGTGTTATTTAGTGTCCAGATATTTGGGGGTTTTCTAGCTATCTTTCTGGTACTGATTTGCAGTTTGATTCCAGTGTGGTCAGAGAACATGCTGTGTATAAAGGCTCGTTCTAGGGCCTGGGCATGGTCCACCCCGAGTGGCGTTTGCTGAGGCTCTGGAAAGGGCAGCGAGGTGAGGCTGGTTGTCAGCGTCATGCTGTTCGAACCTTCCACACTCCCTGCTGGCTGTACCCCCGCGTCTCTGCGGAGCCCTGACCGCAGTGGCTCGGCCTCTGAGTGTCCTCTCGCAGTTTGTCTGTGCTCCCGTTCCTCCTGTGCTCCCTTTGTGTGCCCCTGAGTTCTGCCGTCAGATGTCCACGTGCTTAGAATTGTTACAGGCCCTTTGTAAGTGTCCCTTGGATCATCGCGGCACTTTCTCTTTGCACACGGCGAGTCCCGTCTTCTGAAGTCTCCTTGTCTCACGCTGATGAGGCAGCCACTTCTTTTTTAATCGGTGTTTTCACGGCATTTTCACGGCTTTTTCCTCTAATTTACCTTTAATCGTTCCAAATCGTATTTAAAATGGATTTCTTTTAGACAACAAATAGTTGGATCTTATATTTGTACAATCTAACAAAACCTGCCTTTTGCATGTTTAAAGAATTTAAATTCAATATAATTATCAATACGGCTGTGTTTGGATCTACCATTTTACTTTTTCATTTGTTCATTCTGTTTTCTGTTCCTGTTTCCTCTTTCCTGCCTTCCTTTGAGTTATTGAATATTTTTCAGAATTCATTTCAATGTGTACATTGGATTTTTGGGTAAATCTCTTTGATATTTTTAGTGATTGCTATGGTAATTATAGTATATATATCCATTCTAATGTTTTTTTAGATTTTACCACTTCAAGTAAGTCATAAAACATTTTTAAAAGCCAGTGACATATACCAATAGATGGTGTCTACAAGCATTGTGAACATCCCCAGAAAGTGTGATGACTTGGGCTTTTAATGGTTACAACTGTTCCAAAGCACTTGAATGCAAACACGGTATTTTGCGTTTGCTCAGGTGTTGACTCTTGTTCATTCTCCCTCTGTGAAGCTCTCAGTTCACTTTGCAGACGTCTCCCCACGGCCTGAAGGGCTCACGGAAGCCCTTCCTCCAGAGCAGGTGCCCTGGTGACAGGTTCTCTGAGTGCTGTCTGCGGTGGCGCCCCGGTGCCTCCCCTTCCTGGAGCACGTGGTGAGAGAGAGCCCTGGGCCGGAGGTTCTCTCCTCCCAGCCTGCTCGGCCCCACCCCCGCCGGGACACTGGCACCCCTGCCTAGGCGCCCCTGTTATCGCTCTGGCTGCTTTCGGGATTGCGTTTCAGCCTTTGGTCTTTAGCAGTTTGGGTGTGATTTTTCCAGGCCTGATTGTCTTTCAGTTTATCCCATTTAGAGTGTTTAGCTTCTCGAATCTGAAATATATGTCTTTCACTAAACTTGGGGATTTTTGAGCCATTCTTTCTTTAAGTATTTTTTTTCCTGCCCAATTGTCTGTTTTCTCCTTCAGGGGTTCAAATAACACAACGATGTTGTTCCTTTGAGACTACCGCACAGGTCCTGGAAGCTCTGTTCACTTCCCCCAGAGTTTCCTCCCCTTTCCATTGGACATTTTCTGCTGACGGATCTTCAGGTTCACGGGCTCTCTGTTTCACCTCTGTTCTGTTGCGAGCCTGCTGTGTGAACGGGCAGCATTTGTTGGAAGCCTCATGGGATTCTAATGTCCAGGGAACTTGAGAGCCGCTAGCTTTGCACCTGCAGGCCTCCCTGTCCTCACCTTAGAGTGAGGGTGACCACTCCAGCTCACCACGGCCCAGGGCTGCCAGTCACCTGGGGTGCTCAGCAGTTTTCACAGTAGTGCATGTGGCCAAATCTAGGGAGATGAGACCAGCCAATGCACAAGGAGCTGCACCACTGGGCAACGCAGGGCACCACCACTCAGGGTGCCGCTGGGGGCCAGGGGCTGGCACACCGACATCCCCCGGTCTGAGTGCAGACACGGCTAGAGGCCAGCCGCTCGCTGTGTGGCTGTGGCCTGTCGCTGTCGTCCTGAGTTGTGATGGCACTTGATGAACAGTCCCCAGGGGCTTTCAGGGAGTCCTGACACATTTGCCGTCAGCCACGGGGCCGGTGCCAAGTGCCCAGGGCTCCAGAGGAAGGGTGGTCAGCGCGGAGAGACCAGAACTTTCATCTTCACAGATGTCATTACAGGAAAATGAAAATACAAATCTCACCAGAGTGTGTGTGTAGCGTATGATGTAGGAATTTTCAGGTTAACTCAGCTGACGAGTTGGGCTGCTGCCCAAGAGTCGCCGCGTGTGACTGGGCTCTCTGGGGCCGCAGGCCAGGCTACAGAGTCAGGTTACACACAGTACATCAGCGTGGGCTGTACTGTTAATGTTTAATAAAACGTGACGCATTTCAAATTTCTGTAAATGTACAGATTAACTTAGAAGTAAATCTTTTAGCCAAGGCTATTCTCTTATTATTAACAGAATATCCAAGGAATCTCCAAGCACCCAATTCAAATGACTAAACCTCAGGATTACAGAGGTAACGCATTTCTGTCTACTTTGCTGAAGTCCTGGGTGACTTTTCTTAAAGACCCGCCAGCCGTTGTGCGCACGCTCCTACTGCTTCCCGGAGCTCTCCTCTGAGCCTGCCTGGCCAGGAGCGCGGTGCTCACGGATGAACAGAGCACGGCTCACGCCGTGCAGCCCCGCCCTGCGGCGGCTGCCAGTGAGGGCTGATGAGAATTACGCAGGGAAGGCGGCTCCCCTTCGACCGTCACCCCCTAGCAACCTCCCGATAATAAAAAAGCACTTATAGAGCCGGCTTTTATTTGTCTGAAAATTACTGGAAATGTTTGCACGAGCGGGCTTTCTCCTAAGCTACCTCACTGTCATCCAGCTGGGTGCATTTCTGAAAACCCACGCAGAGGTGTCCGGAATCCGGACCCCTCTGACTCGAGGATGGCGGTGCAGTTCCTTTGTATGAGGAGCAGCTGCGGGTGAGCTCATGGCCACTCTCACCCCATGTCCTGCACTCACACCTCAGGGACAGAGGAGGACACACTCACGATCGCCCCGAGGACCGTGTTCGTCGCAGCCGAAGGACACAGCTTCCTGGCAGCAGGTACGGGCAGACCACGGCAGAGGCGCCGCATGTCACTGGAGCTCACGTATGCACTTCGCACCACTAAAATGTTTAGAAATTGAGCCCTGGCTGGCATAGCTCAGTGGATTGAGCGCGGGCTATGAACCGAAAGGTCGCCAGTTCGAGTCCCAGTCAGGGCACAGGCCTGGGTTGCGGGCCAGGTCCCCAGTAGGGGGTTCATGAGAGGCAACCACACACTGATGTTTCTCTCCCTCTCTTTCTCCCTCCTTTCCCCTCTCTCTAAAAATAAATAAATAAGATCTTAAAAAAAAAAGATTAACAAGTATTAAAAAATATTTAGAAATCAAGTCATTCAGAGGTACTTACAAAACTCACTTTGTAAAATAAACCCAGAGGCAAATATTTATATGAGGCAAAGAGTTCTTACGCACAGCAAACAAGTACAGTCTGCGCCCAGGGCCCCCCACTTCACTGTACCGAGGTGGCAAATCCCTACCCCCGCCTGCTCGGCCTGCCCCTCCGGCCAGCCGTGCGGGCTGCTCTGCGGGCCTCCAGCGGGAGTCCTCATTTCCAGGTGGTGCCTTGCTCCCTCCTTGGCCTCCTCTGTGCCTTTGCTCAGACGTCACTGTCTTCATGAAGCACACACTGACCCCCGTCACAGCAGCATGTTCCTGCACCTGCCATCTGGACCTCCTCGCCCACCCCTTCCGTGCCTTGTCTCACCTGCCACACTCCCGACACACGGGGGGAGCTCCATGAGCAAAGGGGCTGTTGCCCGTCTTGTTCACCACAGCCCGGCACACAATAAGCCCTTTCTGCAATCTGATGTTCAGAATGAACGGGGGAATGAATGCAGCCCCCTCCGAGGTAGTACCGGCCTCATGGAAGGCTGAGGGGTCTCTTGGACTTGCAGACACGGATGGTCAGTGGCCCCGCTGACCCAGGACCCCGGCAGAGGGGCGGGGTTGACCCTGCTGCCAGGGTGTGAGTGGGGGGCCGAGGTGTGAGTAGCGCCAAGGAGGGACCATGTGGGTAGGTTCTGAATTAACACAGAGCTCTTTCTCACAGACTTTTCGCAGATCGAATTGCGCATTCTTGCACACTTATCCAGGGACCCAGAACTTCTGAAGTTATTCGAGGAACCTGAAAGAGATGATGTGTTCTCTACCCTGACTTCGCAGTGGTAAGACATGTGAGCTCACAATAGTATCAGATCTGCAGGAATGCCTACATTTCAAAAGCCTGAAGTTATTCCAAGGCTATTTTCATAAGAAAGAAATAATATTTTTCTCTAGAGGTTAATCTTTCTGAAACGGAGAGTAGATAAGTAGGATGCCAAGAGTTTCCTGAATATGAAAACCGATAGTGCTTAACCACTAGAAAGGGAGTGCACTGCGAAGGAATGCAGTAACAAATACTGGAGAAATTGGAAGTGCGAGTCACGAGTTCCCTCCAGGTGACCGGCAGTGTGAAGAGCGCAGAGCCCGGGTGGCAGTCAGCCTGCTGCCCCACCCCCACCGGGTGGGCCCGGAGCCCTGTGGGCTGCACGTGACAGTCCTGTCCACAGTGACTCACCCTCAACACAGCCCTAGAGGAGGTGGCCTCAGGGGCCGTTGGGCAGGGCCTGCCCTTCTTCCCGAGTCGGCGTCGTTAGGGTGCCGGCCTCTCATGGTCGCGGAGCCCCTGCTGCCTGCCTCCGACGCAGGAGGCAGAGGAAGGGGCATGCTCCCCTCCCACACCCTACCTTTGGTGAGGGGGTAAGAGCCCTGCCCCAGAGCCTGCTACGGACGACTGACTGCTGCATGTCACTTTCCAGAGCCAGGGTGGCAGCTGGCATAGCTGTGAGAGAGGCTAGAAGAGGGGATACTCTAGAACAGAGAGGTATAGTCACAATGTCTCCCCAAGACCAGGTTCATCACTGCTTGGAGCAGAGTCCGACTCGGCTACTCGGAAGCAGAGTGGCTGTGGGGGCTGCGGGCCAGCTCTCGGGAAGGTCGCTGCTCCCTCCTCTGGGTCTCCTCGCCCTCCGAGCCCGGTCTCGCGCCCTGACCCCTGCAGGAGTGACACTGGGAATGACGCCCCACGAGGTCTGCTCCGCCGTGTTTTCCACCCCCGCCCTTCCCTCCCCACACCCTCACCCAGGGTCATTGTCGCCGTCTGCTGTGAAGGCGTGCGAGCTGCGTGAAGGCAGAGCCACCTCCTTTGGCCCAGTGCACTTGCTGGCCCCTGCCCCTCACTGTCTCCAGCCACCGGGCCGGTCCAGGCCCACACCTCACCCAGGCCTTTCCCTCCCAAGGGCTTGGGAAGCTTTCCCCAAATGTCCACGTGGCTCGTCCCTCACCAGTCCAGCAGTTATTCGTACATTCATGAGGTTTTGCAGCCGTCGCCACTAATTCTAGAACATTTCCATCACCCCAAAGAGCATCCCCATGCCCATCAGCCATCACCCCCTATTCGTCCCTCCCCCATGGAAACTACTAACCTACTTTCTGTCTCTATCTGTTTGTTCTGCACATTTCATGTTAATGGAATGACGCCATATGTCTGGCTTCTTCAACTGAACATACTGTTTGCAGGGTCAGCCATGCTGTTTCACAGATCAGCTCTTCACTCCTTTCTGTGGCTGAGTGATGTTCCAACGTGCAGAGCAATGTGTTCTGTGCACCCCAGTGTGCAGAAGCAGACAGTGTTTTCTTTGTTACCCATTCGTCAGTTTGTGGACGTCCAGCTTCTTTTCATCTTCTGGCTCTTAGGAGTAACACTGCTATGAACATTTATGTGCGATTTTTTATGTGGACATGGGTTTTCATTTCAGTTGGATATATACCAAGGAGAGCAATTGCTGGGTCATATAGTAATTCTGTTTTTGGTTTCTACTGTGGGGTAATAGCATAACATAAAATTAACCATTTTGGCCCAGGCCAGGCAGCTCAGTTGGTTGGAGCCGTTGTCTTGAAGCATCAGAGTTGCGGGTTGGTCTCCGGTCCGGAGACAACCAGTAAATGTGTGACTGGGTAGAACAACAGATCGCTGCTTCTCTCTCTCACTCTCTCAGTCTCTCCTTCCCTCCCTCGTTCCCTCTCTCTCTAAAATCAACAAATTTTTTAAAATTACCATAGTAGTCATTTTAAAATGTACAATACAGAGCTAACTATGTTTTATGTTTCTGTGGAACTGCTGAACTAGTTTCCAAAATAACCATACCATTTTACACTCCCACAAATAGAGCATGACTTCGTGCATACGCTCGACACTTTTTATTACCTGTCTTTTTAACTCTGGCCACCCCGGTGGGTGTGATGTGGTTGGTATCTCACTGTGGCTTGGACTTGCATGTCCCTGATGACAGCCACTCTTCAGCATCTCCTCCTGTGTTCGCCACTTATTCTCGCTGTCTTTCTTGTTACACCTGGAACAAAAGTGCCCCCTGGGGTATTTTGCTAACCTCAGACATTTCTCCTGTAAGGTGTCCTTCTGTTTCCCTTCCTCTCCAGTTGGTATATAAGACAGCACCGAATTTGAAAGGCATGCCATCAAGTTGCTAACACTCCTGGCCTACCTCCGGAGGTATGGGAAGTCTTAGAAGACAGTTTTTGTCTAGGCAGAAAGGATATTTTGCTTATTTGGTTCATCTTGAGCTCTGTTGCTATCTCAGTGCTTTGATGGAACAGCGCCCTGGACATCCTCCCGCAGAGGGTGTGAGAGGGTCTGTTTATGATTCAAAGTTACTGTGCAGACTGCTGAGCATGTCCTTTGTTCAGTGGGCCCCGAGCTACTTTGGCTGTTGCTAACCAAGTGTTACAGCAAAACGTTTTTGTCAGTGTATGAGACAGAGGATGCGGCCAAAGCAGTGCCAAGAGGGAAATGTATAGCCCTGAATGGTCATGTTAAAAATGAGGAAAGATCTCAATTTATCCATGAAACCAGTCTTACCCTGATACCTGAACCAGACAAAGAAAGTGAAATTAAATAACACAAACCTCAGAACTTGGAATCAGAGCCCTCAACAAAATATTAGCAAACTAAATCCAACAGTGTCTAAAAGTAATTCTACAGTGTGTCCTGGTGGGACTTGCACTGTAGAATTACAGTGCACCCCCCATTCCAGGGGTGCAAATCTGGCTGTGTGTTTGAAAATCAGTCTAACACACCACATGATCACAGTAGAGAATAAAAACAATGTGATTATATCAGTTGACCCAGACAAAGCATTTGATAAAATTCAGCAACCACTTACGGTAAAAATTCTCAGGAAGTTAGAGAGGGGAACAAGCACAACTAAATAAAGAACATCTTAAAAAATACCTACAGCCAAGAGCATATTTAGTTGTGAAAGTCTGACTGGTTCTCCCTAAGATCAGGAATAACCCATTAATATTGAGTATTGAAGTTCTAGCCATCGATTAAGGCAAGAAAAAGAAACAATGGTATACATATTAGAAAGGAAGAAATAAAACTATCTTTATTTGAAGGTGACATCATTGTCTATATAGAAATTCCCAAATCATATAGAAGAAAAAAATTAACTTCTAGAACTGATAAAACAAGTTTAGCAAGGTCACGAGACACAATATCAACACAGAAATCAATTACATTTCTATAAGCTGACAATGAACATGCAGAAACTCAAATTTAAAATGCAACACTATTTACAGTCGTTCCAAAGGTAAGGAAATACCAAGTGTTCAGTTAACAAAATACGTGCGGGTCGCCGTGTCTAAAACTGCAAGGAGCTGATGGAAGCAGTCTAAGGTCTAATGAACGGAGAGGCCTCCTGTGCTCGTGGAATTGAAGACTCGACATCGTCGGTGGGTCGGTTTTCCCTAAAAACAATCCACAGGTTTAATGCAACCCTATCAAAACCTAGGCACATGTTAGAGTAGACAAGCCGATTCTGAAATCTGTGAAACGGCACAGGCCCGGAAGAGCTAAAATGGTCTCCACAGAGAAAAAGGTCCGGGGAGTCGCTGCCTGACCCTAGGACAATGCGAAGCCACGGAGAGAGTGTGGCACTGGCAGAGGGACGGACACAGAGACCAGCGGGACTGAAGAGAGAAGCCAGAAACAGACCCACACAATATGCTCGATGGGTTTTGAAAAGGGTTTCAAGTATCAGGCAGAGAATAATTCTCTTCAGACTCAAGTTCGGCTGCTCACTCATGAAGACAGCTTGAGACGTTCATGTCCACACTGGCTATTGTTTGTCTGTGTTGCATTTTATTAGCTTGTACACGAGGTCTGTCGGGAAAAAGGCCAGCCGTGGTTAATGTGATGGGAATGGTTTGCGGGACCTCGACGCCACCGGCGGCCAAGGCAGCTTTCTCCACAGTGATCGTGCACATCTGTCTGACGAGACGGCTTTGTAAAACGTTCACAAAATGCAATTAAAAAATGCAATCCTTACAGCTATGCATTCGGCTCAACGTTTTCAGGCCGAAACTCGAAACAGAGTTTTCCGCTGCAGGATACATTTGTTTTCCTTCCACTTAACACTTTTCGGGGTGCTGTTCTGAGATGTTCTCTCTAAGGCAGCCACGTTCGAGGGTGTTGCCGGCCACCCCCTCTCTGGGAAGGTGGTGCTTCTCTGTCCAGTAGCTGCCAGACCTGGTCACGTGACTTGCTATGGCCCGTAAAGCAAAAGTGGTCTGCGGCCTTCCTAAGCTGAGGCTTCACGGAAGCGCACACAGTGTCCCCTGGCCTCTCCTGTCAGCACGGGTGGCCCCCGGGAGAAGCCAGGGGACACCACGCGGCAGGTGGCAGAGCACGTGATGGGGTGCGGTGAGGAAGAGAAACGGGCCGTGCTTGCTGTGGGCAGTGACCCAGGGGGGACATTGTCACAGCACCCGTTGTCCTGCTGCAAGACGCGCAGGTCTCGGGGCCAGAAGGAAGAGGCTGCCGTCACGAACCCTGACCCACGTGGCTTCTGGGATGCGGGGCAGGCAGGGAGGAGGTGTTTGCTGGAAGATGGCATCTGGCAAATGGTGTAACGCTTGGCAACCCTGTCACCTGTGATCACTTGCAAGGCAAATAACATCCTAATGCGCTGAGGCTGTTGGCAGACTGGGCCAGCAGGTGCTGGGCCGTGCTCTGGCTGCTGTGGCCGGCAGGGGACGAGGTCCTGGGAAGAGAAGCAAGCTCAGGCCGAGGCTGTGGACGCCACTGGCCCCAGTCCCAGAGTCCATG